CTTGGTTTACACGGGGTTTCCCAAGGGTAACGGCAAATCACGGTCTTCGGACCTCTGTATCTCGAACTTGGAGTAATTGTTTTTCAAGTAACGGCTGCTAGTGCATCCTAGTTTGCTCTTCACGGCAAGTGCTTCCTCGTCAGCGTCTCAGCGCGTCTGAAGGCAAGTGAAAGCTGCGTAGCGAGCAGCAGAAAGTGCTAAATTCTATTGGCTGATGCAATAGCTGGCTAGCCACGTGATTGGTTAGTCAGTTGCTACCTGAATTTTACTGGAACTTTCTATTTACTCGATTTTAGCTTTTCTTATTTGACTATTTTCAACAAGTTTGTATTTTCTTTTCTTTCTTTTTTTTAAACTATGAATGTATGAATGCTTAGATTTCTATTTATCTTATTTGGTCTTTTATCCTGTTTTAACTGTTTTGTAAATTTCCATTTATATTTCATTATTCATTCTAATTATGTAATGATGTTTCTATTGTAATCTGGGTTTTACACCGGGTTACACTTGTGCTGATGATTTTAGGTTATGTTGAAGAATGTGAAGGTAATCCTCCTTCTTCATTATTCCATTTACTCTCTGTAAAGCACCAGTTCCACTGGCAGCAAAACAGCCCCACAGCATAATATTCCCACCACCATGCTTGACTGTAGGCATGGTGTTCTTGGGGTTAAAGGCCTCACCTTTTCTCCTCCAAACATATTGCTGGGCATTGTGGCCAAAAAGCTCGATTTTTGTTTCGTCTGACCACAGAACTTTCCTCCAGAAGGTCTTATCTTTGTCCATGTGATCAGCAGCAAACTTCAGTCGAGCCTTAAGGTGCCGCTTTTGGAGCAAGGGCTTCCTTCTTGCACGGCAGCCTCTCAGTCCATGGAGATGCAAAACACGTTTGACTGTGGACAATGACACCTGTGTTCCAGCAGCTTCTAATTCTTGGCAGATCTGCTTTTTGGTGATTCTTGGTTCACTCTTTACCCTCCTGACCAATTTTCTCTCAGCAGCAGGTGATAGCTTGCGTTTTCTTCCTGATCTTGGCAGTGATGAAACAGTGCCATGCACCTTATACTTACAAACAATTGTTTGCACTGTTGCTCTTGGGACCTGCAGCTGCTTTGAAATGGCCCCAAGTGACTTTCCTGACTTGTTCAAGTCAATAATTCGCTTTTTCAGATCCATGCTGAGCTCCTTTGACTTTCCCATTGTAGCGTTCATGGGCGTTTGTATCCAATGAGCCCTATTTACCTGGCCTAAGAGAAGTCACCAGCTGTAGTCACTCATAATCACTCACAAAAAGTTAAGAGGCCATGCTATGAAGCTCAGTTCACTGACACGTTTCTAAGTCACCTAAATTGCTAGTTCATGTTGCTGTATGTATATTTGTGACCCAGCAAATGTGATCACTTTTCTCTGTTAACCCATAATAAAGTCATTAAAGAACCAAACTTCATGAATGTTTTTTGTGACAAAGAAGTATCTGTTCCAATCACTCTATCAGAGAAAAATCAGAGTTTTAGAAATAACGGGACACTCAGTAGAGCCATTATTTTATATTTTTTACAAGTGTATGTAAACTTCTGACCACAACTGTATAAGCACAAACATCAACAGTTCACAACATGAGACTCCAGTGGGAAGGGGGGGGCTGTTCTCCCCCAGAGCAGTCTTCAGAGGTGCTCATACACTGTTGAATCACAGGTGGGAGGGAGAACGAAGGAGAGTGAAGAGTACATTGACTCCTTCAGTTGATGACCTCACCAGGCTAAGTCCACCAATCCGAAGGCAGGTCGGGTTTTCACAGTGTCTGTCTGCATTCCATCGTGATGGGATTTGTCTTCTCGCTGCTCAAGGCTACCAGGGCGCCAGATTCAGATAGGAAGACTTGTTTGAGTTAGGCAGAGATAATTTTCTCTCTGCCTTTCAGTCTTTAACTGATCATTCCAGTCCCTCAGTGAATCCAATTTTTGGGTTTAAACTTGCCCATACCGTGCATTGACTTTCTCCAAGATCACATCCATTATGCGCATACCGGTATCGCAGCTAGAACCTACAGTTTACGATTCACCTCGAGTAATGTTCCAGTCTGAGCAGTTTCTACACGGAGACTTTCCATGGGTACGGGTTGCCCTTCAATCGCTTCCGTCTTCCCAATTTTCCAGAATACCAGAAATTCTCCCACTCAAAACAGAAGAAATCCAACAATCATCAGTTAAAAAATCCACACGTCTTCAATGTCCTCCATGGGCAGCTGGGAGAGGCATGTAATATTCCACTCCTTCCAGGAATCCAATATATACCACACCGGGGGCGTCTCCTGTGGACAAGCAGGAGCCCCCTGCTCTGTTCTCATTGTGAAAAAATGTTGTCAATCGTATTGAATGCATAGAAGCGCTCTGTACGCAGACAGGACAAGAGCCTTGGAAAAAAAGATAAGGGAGAGTAAAGAGAAGTGGCTGTACTTTCCGGATGCCGGAAGAAGAGAGGGTCAAAGAGCAGTTTCCAAAATGTTGTTTTAGTACTCATTTACACAATTACCATCTCAAAAATTAGTCATTGCAATTCATTCAAATGCTATTTTATAATCTTTGTATTGTCATAAATGTCACATTTCATAATTATTTTATCTTATTTATTATGGACTTCCATCCATAATAGTAAATAACTTCAGAGTTCTTAGTAAATAATCATAAAACATAGACAACATGTGCATGAATTGTTTTAGTTTTTTATTAGGTTAGAGCTGCTTTAAGATGGCAGAAACATATAATTGTTACCACTCATGGTCCTTTTCCAGGAACACCCACTCAGCTCTACTCTACACAGTTCGGGTGGTTTTCCAATAGTCCAGGATTGCACCAGTGGATGGGGTTATCGTAGCAAGGCAGCCTCCAGAGTTAGCAGCTTTGCTTTTTATCAGACTCCAAATATCAAAAAGAACCGGAAAAGGATGCTGGCAGTGAGACAAAACGTTCTGCAGAAGTAGAGATTGGGTAACCACCCCAGCAGTGTAGCCATAAACATATTTTCAGTCAGGCCTGATTAAAATAGGTGGGCCAAATAAATGTAATTGAAAATAACTTCATTTGTAAAATAAACTTAGTTGTAGGTCCATCGGACAATGGGGCAGTATGGCTTGGGCAGAACGGCCGATATCATGCAACACAGTTTATTTGTTGGGAAACAGAAAAACATCACTGCTTCTGACAAGCAAAATAAACAACAGAATGCTGTTGTTTTTGTATCGTTATTTGTACGTCGGCTTCAGAGCTACAAACCTTCCTCACATACAGGACAGTGCACATTTAGGTTTAACCCCGCCTAAACCAGTCCAGTTGGTGATTAAAACGCTCTCCTGAAATCGCCAACCCATACCGGTCCACAGCCGCCCAAAGTTGATGTGATTTATTTTGATCAAACAACTCCTCAAAATCTTTGAGAACCCAATTCAAATTTTTTTTACTAATTGCTAAGTTGTAATATTTTCATATCAACTGAGCAGTTATATACTGTTTAGGGATGTAAGAAAATATCAATATGGCAATATATTGTGATATTTTTCCTGCGATATATCGATATTCAAAAGCCATGTATCGAATTTCTGGAAGAATTTACATGCAAACATTTGTGTATTTTTTTTTCTTTTGGTGCAATTCAAATGCTGACCACTAGCAACCAGTAGTGTGCAATGGGTATTGTTTCCACCACTGAAATGTAAATCCCTTTGTTATGGTTCAGGTACCTCATGTTAAACATGTTACATATCAGTTTGGACTGTTTATTTTCCTACAATAAGTTCAGTCTAAGATCTCTGAGGTCCAGTGACCAAAGCCTACTAGGTTGTGCAGCGCACCATGACGGATTGCTGCGGTGGTCCCCAGACTCTGGAACTCTCTCCCCCTGAGCCTGAGACCAGTGGACTCAGTGGTCTCCTTTAAAAAACAGCTGAAAACTCATCTGTTCAGACTAGCTTTGGTGTGACCTTCGTCACCACCCTCTCTTTGTTTTGTTCTTATTCCGCCTTTCCCGGGATCCATTGATTTCCCTTTTTCCTAATAATTTTCTCTCTCCCTTTCCTTACAGTTTTTTTTCTTTTCACCTTTTAAACATATTTTTATTCATTTTTGAAATCTTTGTATACTTTAATGTTTTTGTTTTTGTGAAGCGCCTTTATCTTGAAAGACACTAAATAAAAGATCGTCTTCTTCTTCTAAAAAAATTGCTAATATCGTCTGGCTGACATTATATCTGACTATATCGTATCGTCTCCCCTGCATCGTGACACATATATCGCCAGAATTTCACTAATACACATCCCTGATGTTGTTGCACGTCTTTTTCCCCTCACTGGTGTAGATTTTAAGCACTGCACATTATGCTGGCATGTCAGCAGCTTACAAGGACTGAATAGAAAACAAGTGATGAGTGAGAAGAAGTAGCAAAAGTTCAAGGATGAACTTTGAAAAAGCATAATGAATCCTGGGTGAAGAGCACTTTAAAATAGTGCCGAAAAGCTTGACTCTTTGGTGGCAAATTGGGACGAAATGAGAGGTGATTTAAAGCTCGTACTGTATATCTAACACTAACCGTCTGCAGCAACGTTATTGTACCAAACCTGGTGGTACACACAGTATAATAAATCGAGGAGACAAGGCACACTGTCTCACAGCTGCTGTGGATTTATCCATCAGTACCACCGAGCTGGAGAGCTGCTCCTAGCCCTGAACAAAACCTCTCTGTGTAAGTATGCAGCTGCAGCTTCCGAGATGCCCTAAAAAAGCTCCATGACCCAGTGTGGAGGGACCTGGGACTTAAGCTAAAAATCCAGGGGGATCATGCATTTAAGGACAGTCTTTTCACTCTTTTCTAAGGCAGCTTTTCACCAGGTTTTAGATATTTGTTCATTTTTACTCGTTCTTTGTCACCATCAGCTTCAGTTCAAAGAAAGAAGGGCGTTTTAGTGCATTGTGATGTCACGCTGCTGCTACTGTGTCCCCCTTCCTCGATTGGACTCTTCCATCTCAAAAAAATCTGACAGTTGGGGAAGAGTTCTTCATGTCAGGGACTGCTGTAGCCTCGGCGCACACAGGACCAAAGCTCCTGGATCACCTAAGGTAATATTTTGTACAGGGTCACTTTTTTACCTTCATAATCTGTGAATTGTCTGTCTCCTCGTCCCTAAAGGGCTGATGTCTCAGCACCTGACTGAATCCAATTCTGTTTTAAGGAGCAGTTGTGTTAGAAGATGAGCATGCAGTTTCAAGGACCTGCAAATCCCCATCAATACCTCAGCATCTGGTTTATTTCCCATGCTAATGCCTGATTGTGTGTACTTCTTCATAAACAGATAAGCCGATGGATGAGAAAGAGCTGAGTGATCCATTGAACAACGCGTCATTGATTAAAGGTCTGTTATGTTTCCCTCAAAGCCTTGACATACATAATTCAGGTGAATGACTTGGCATTATTTTTGCTCCTCTTCATGCCCGACACATACTGCTAAATGGCAGTATGAGCCTGGGCAGCACTATTATTGAGGATGATCTTTCATATTAGAGGATTAGTTACTGAGAAGATGTTAGCTCTGGTGACCGTTGAGGAAATATAATTTAAATCCAGTACAGGGAATTTAAGATGGAGCAGTTATGGCAAAATTGGTGAAATAATTTTGCATGATGAATGAATTTGTGATGCAACTCTGCAAAGAGCACAAGGCAAACGCTGTCTTTCAGGATCAAATGTTTCTCAGAATAAGTTCTTGACAGAAATTTGTGATTTTTTTGTTTACACGTCTCCCGGGAGTGTGATCAGTAACTTGTCAACACTTTGCTAATGCTCTGATTCATTTTGCTGCCACATTGGCTGAAGAGGCAACAGGGAAAGATATGACGGCAGTAGCCCTCAGCACATGAGCTAAAAAAAAGATTTTCTCCTTCATTTATTCTCTGCTGAGACTCGAGGCAGTTTGATACCCACTCCCCCCTCCAGCAGATGTATTTTTGCACACCGACTAATCTATTGCTGCTTAGTCAGGTGTCATTAAATGGCATTAAGAGACAATTTGGCTCATCTGGACCAATGTTCCTAAAGATAACAAGTTGCATCCTCGTGTGACGCATCCTTTAACCCTTTTGGTTGTCTTTTGAACAAAGTGGGCACAAACAACGTACTTACAGTACAGGGAACCCACTCACATTCTGGCTCTCGCTCATACATATGCAAGCATGACGCGGCGCTGCCCTCTCTTCCTTTGTCTGGCACACAGCTGGCTGGTCATGTGGTTATAGGCCACGGATGTCGCCAGCTCCTAGCCTTTGTTTAACTCCCGTTATTTATAAACGTCATCTGATTTGATAGATTACGTAACTATTTGTTTTAAACTTAATGACTCTGACGTTTTCAGTCCTGTAATGGGTCCATTTATGGTGCTTGAGCTGCCCTTCCATTTGTTTTTGGCCTCCACCAAATGTTCATTCTGAGATTAGGTCATCTCCTTTCTTAGCTGTGGTAGATTAGGGGATCAAGATATTCTCTAGGCATTTGAAAAGTATTTGTGGAGTTTGTTTCCATGCCCCAGGAAACACAGCAGACCCTTGACAATGTTGGCAAGTTCTTTCCCTTTGTGTATTATTTATTGTTGGGTGCTATTAATGGGCAATGTGAATGTGCCAGAAGCTCTAATATAGAAGTGATGAGCAGTTTGCTTTGGAAAGTGGGGTCTATTTCTAGACTTGCAATTAGTTTACGTAATAAATCTGTGTTAACATCTTGGGAAATCATAGCAGCCCTGGTTAGTTATTTGGGACTGTGGCTGAATTAACATTGTAGATTTTTCAGATCTCCTATTTTTATGGAAACTGACTCAATTGCCATCATCCTGCTGCTGTTTCATACTTTAAATACATTTATATTAGGACCTTATTGCTACTGATGCATTGTTCTTGTGTTTCCTGTCATGACTTCATCTGTTTCTCCTTTTGTGGGTTTGGGAAAAGTCTACAGAAAAAGGGATCTGGAAGGCATACATCTGAAGTATGATTTATTTATGTTTTTCTATAGTTTTATATTAAACAACACAATTTGCAAAAACCTTCCATTTTCATCTGCTTATCCAGGGTCAGGTCACTGGGGCAGTAGCCTTAGCAGAGAGGCAGACTTTCTTCTCCTCAGCCGCTTGGGCCCGCTCCTCTGGGGGAATCTTAGCCATTCTCTGGCCAGCTGAGAGACATAGACCCTCCAACCTGTCCTGAGTCTTCCCTTAGGTCTCCTCTCGGTTGGACATGCCTGGAAAACCTCACCAGAGGTGACCAGGAAGCATCCTAACTAGATGCCCGAGCCACCTTAATTGGCTCCTCAAGGTGGAGGAGCAGCGGGTCTACTCCGAGCCCCTCCCGGATGCCCGAGCTTCTCACCCTATCTCTAAGGGAGAGCCCAGCCAAACTGCTGAAAACTTATTTCTGCCGCTTGTATCCGCAATCTTGTTCTTTTGGTCACTAACCAAAGCTCGTGACCATAGGTGAGGGTAGGAACGTAGATCGACCGGTAAATAGAGAGCTTCGCCTTCTGACTCAGCTCTCTCTTCACCACGACAGACCGGTACAACGCCCGCATCACTGCAGATGCAGCACCAGTCCACCTATCGATCTCACGCTCCAGTTTTCCCTCACTCATGAACAAGACCCTGAGACACTTAAACTCCTCCACTTGGGGCAGGACCTTGTCCCTTATGCAAAACCCAGTTCCTGCATAATCAGCAATTAGATGTCAGTGAAACAAATGAAAAGAAACCCCGCCATGTTATGGAGCTCCTAAAACATAAATCCAAATTTAAATGAGACATTGAATTTAGGCCTTTACATGACAGAACAGGTGTTTTTATAGTTTTTACACAGATGATTGTGATGATGTTCAAACACTTTTCTACATTCCTGCCTTGGCAGCAATCAAAATAAACATTCTAACAGTTTTTCTTCTGTTCTGTATTAGATGACCTAACCAGATCAAACATGGGCTCCTCTGGTGACGCAGAAAAGATGATTCAGCGTTTGAATGATGAACTCCGAGAGGCTCGGGAACTAGCTAATACAGAAAAACAGAAACGCACTGAGCTGCAAGGTAATGAGGATTACCTTAGATGTTAAACATCCAACAGTGGGTTCATTTCACTTTGAGATTAAAATGCATTTCTGTTTTCCAGGAGTTCTGGAGGAGGAGAGGAAAGGAAATCAAAAACAAGCTGCTGAATCAGCTAAACAAATAAAAAACCTTCAAGGTAGATTTTAGCTTTTACCAGAAATGGTAAACCAGTAGATGTCACCACTGTTAATCTGCTTGTGGACCTTGGTTTGAACAGGCCAGCTGCAGCATCTCCAAGATGAGCTGGGCACGCTCAGAGAGCAGATGGACGCCTCCTCCAGTTCACGTGACGAGCTGGAAAGTGCACGAGACGAGGTGAAGTCTCTGAAACTTGCCCTGGAGGCAGCTGCCGCCGAGCGGGACCGTGACGTCGGTGCTGTCCAGTCCAACCTGGCAACTGTCTCAAAGGATCTGGAAAAGTGGCGTCAGACGGCCAGCAAGTACGAGCACGAGATTGACAACCTGCAGCGGGACCTGGAGCTGCAGAGCAAGCAGTGGCAGAAAACAGCAGAAATACAAGGTATCATCACATCATGTGCATGCATCGTTAAAATATGTGATTGTGTTTATATGGCACCATATACAGTGGTGTGGAAAACTATTTGCCCCCTTCCTGATTTCTTATTCTTTTGCATGTTTGTCACACAAAATGTTTCTGATCATCAAACACATTTAACCATTAGTCAAAGATAACACAAGTAAACACAAGATGCAGTTTTGAAATGATGGTTTTTATCATTTAGGGAGAGAACAAAATCCAAACCTACATTGCCCAGAAACATTTTGTGTGACAAACATGCAAAAGAATAAGAAATCAGGAAGGGGGCAAATAGTTTTTCACTCCACTGTATGCATCTTTAAAGTAGTTTTATTTCTACGTTTTATTTTATTTTATTTTTTGCAGAAGTGTTGACTTGTTTTTTCCTCCAAGCTGTATTCTGTTAGTTTTTCTTAGTTTACTGTGTACACATTCAAAGTTCTAGTTCTTTATTTAAAGCAAAAATTTGTTTATCACAAGAAAATTGTGGTGTGTTTGTTTTTCTTGCAAGACGTTTTCCCGTTCAGCCATTCTCTAACACGTGTTGCAAAAAAACATCTTGAGTTGCATTTGAACCTTTTTTCAATCAATCAATTCAAAGATACTTTATTAATCCCAGAGAGAAATTAGAGTTTCAGAGATCAGAAATACATGGGCAAGACACATGACAAGAATTAATGACTGTGGTCATTCGCAACCCTGTGTCGCGCTACCTTAATAGAGATAAGAGGGGTTTACTTGAGGATTGGTTCAGGTGGAGGGAAAAAAAAGGCATTTCAGAGTTACCCTCCATATGGAGGGCAGCTTTGCTCTGCAAAAAAAAAAACCCACCTTAAACAGATATGCAACAGACTTCAAACAACACAACATAAGTGTCCACTAGGTGGGGTGGTGGGTTGGGACTATCCCCACTTCAGTTCCTGCAGCCACGATAGAAGCAGCGCATGTCACCTCAGTGTGGATGGGGGGAGGAGCATTGAGGGTTGGAGGGTTGCAGTGACCCTGGAACGTTTCAGTGGCCTTCCCGCAGTCCCGCCCAGGCTGGGATAGGAGACAGAGTTGAGTTGCCATAGCGACAGCACATTCCACATATCTTCTGAGGGGGGAGTTTTCTTGTAGCCTTGCAGGCTCAAGGATGCCAGATTCCAATTAGAAATTGTTTTGAAACCAGACAGAGATAATTTCCTCTCTGTCTTACAGTTTGTTGGTCCTCAACCTCTCAAAATCCCAATAATGGACATTAAACTATCCCAATCCGTGCTGATTTGTCCACTCTATCCTTGATGGCATCCATCTTTGTGCCAATGATTGAATCTCGGCCAAAGTCCCAAGCTTACGATTCATCTCGACTATTATGTGAGTCTGTGAATTCACAGCGCGGTGCAAGCCATCTCTGGGCTCGGGGATCAGACCAATATTCCTCGACAGCTCGTTAATTTTCCGGTAAGCCAGGTAGCCTCCAATTCCGATCAGCAGGAAACCCGACACCAACACCACGAATATCCACACATCTTCAGAGTCCTCCACAGACAGCTGGTCTGTCCCGGAGGGGCATCTGGGAGCCCCTTCCCCCGTTCTCATCGTTGAAAATTTTTTATCAACCGCATTGAGTGACCAACTGACGAGATCCATTTTAGTGAATTTCAGTTTCCAGTTTCCAGAAAAAATGCAGAAGCAGCCGTGCACCCAGCACACACAGACAAAGGTCTTGAGGAGAAGATATGGAGGAGAGGAGAAGAAAAGCATCTGCACCCTCCAAGAGCCAGAAGAAGAATGGGATTTTGTTTTATTGCAAGGAATAAAGTCAATTTTGAGGAGGCTAAACTTAGCGGTATATTTTCTTTGCAGCCAGTGAGCTGCAGTCTCTGCAGGTGGAGTGTAATGGTCTTCAGAAAGAATGTTCCGCCCTTCGGTCTGAGAAACAGGAAGTGGTGAATAAGCAGCAGAAAGAAAAGAGCAGTCTGCAGAGTGAATGTGCCTCTCTGAGGGCAGAGAATGAGGAACTCCACAAGAGTCACCAGAAAGAGAAGGCCAGTGTGCAGATTGAGTGTGAGGCACTACGCAGTGAGAAAGAGGCAGTGCTTCAGAAACAGCAGCAGCTGGAGAAGGACCTGATCAGGTCAGTGAACTGAGCTGCATTACCTAAAGGTGGAGCATGTCCCAGTTTCAGGATGTTTTACCCAACAGTAACCTTGTTTTAATGTCATCCTTCACCTTTTGTCGTGGATGTCACTGGTAAATGGTAGCTTGCGGGGTCAGAATGCTGAGCTAACCAGTAGCATCAGAGCGCAGGAGCAATCCCAGCAGGATCTGGAGAAGAATCTGAAGGTCTTACAGCTCCAGCACCAGCAGGACAACACCAAGCTGCAAACCCAGCTGGACGAAGCTGAGAGCCGCAGACGGACTCTGCAAAGAGAGGTATTCTCTAAAATCTGGGCTTTAGACACACATGCGCCTCAGAAAGAAGATTGTGCTAGATGTTTCTGCTTTAAACGTGACTCATAGATGTGGAAACATTTTGCTCAGATCAGATGCAGTGCTTCAGCGTAGTGACGGTTTGAGGTCTGCAGCTGCCTCTGGTTGGGCTGCTGACGACGCTGCTTCACAGGCGCAAGGCTGACGGAGTCTTACACTATTCATGACGCTTCCTTCTTCACTCCCAGCATGAAGGAGGAATTCTTGTTTTGGACAAGGGAATAAATCTATCCTGCTTGTGTTGAGGAACACAAATTTGATGCAAAAATAAAAAACAATGTTTAATTATGATAATTTACTCAAATTATTCCCGTTCCCAGATTTAATAATAAATCGGCATGATGGTGACTAATACTTCAAAAATGTCAGAGGTACATCATTTCCTGCTACTCAGCATTTGCAGGACGAGGAGCCTCAAACAGATCTAATCTGACACTGAGTCTGCTTTCCTGTAAGGCATATGGTATGTTACTGATCAAATATGAATTATTTTCTTGTAAACATAGTTTGATGCAGTGAAAACAGTGGTTAAATGATAGATTTACCACATTTTTGCAACAATAAACAGGGAAAATTAAGAAGTTTGAGTTTGTAAATGATGGGAAAACTCTTAAAGTCCAAAGTGGCATCTAAATAAATAAATGTGCAGATCAGTCATCTGCTAGCTAACATTAGCACTCCTCCCAGTCAGAAGTAACTGGCAGAACAGGGATCACACACAAAGGAAGGACTGGCTTTGGAAGATAAAAAAAAATCTGATCTGAAAAGAGTTATCTCAGCCTGTGAACGTAAAAACAACTGGCCCCAATCAGCTGAAGCATTAAAGAAGTGCATCAATAAAATTCCTATGTGGGGGAGGGTGTTTAAGCATGTGAGCAGGACAGAACCTGGGAGAAACAGATAAGTAACTCAAGAGTGTAAGGAACATTTGATGAGTTTTTTATTCATTATTGTGCAGTATGAAGAGGCTCAAACTGAGCTGTCAGATCTGAGAGAGAAATACAAGAAGACTGAGCAGGAAAAGCAGCTGCTAACAGATCAGCTGGAGGAGAGCAAGGTCGGCATGAAGGAGCTGCAGGAGAAAGGGTCAAAGGTGAGCGCTGATCCATCAGTCGGTCATTTTGATCACTTTAGTTGGTGAAATGCTCACAGGAATACAATGTGTGTTTTATAATTGCTGTATTTTTTGCAGACACCCTGCTCAAAACTGTTCAGTGTTGCTTTTGTGAGCGGTTGTAAATATGTAATTTATTCTGAAATAAATCTGTGTTTCATACTGTGTGCCCCTGCCGAGGGAAAGAGAGTAAAAAGCAGAAATGAGTGATGCTTGCAGAACAGCCCAACAGCAGCAAACACTGGGTACTGTCACCTGTTATGTGAAGAGCTGCTGGACACAACAGCCATGAGTGGCTTAAAGATTTACATGAACACTAGTTAAATACACAGATCAGTGACTGAGTGACTCTTTAACAAAGCTGCGCCCAACCACAGACTGTCTCGTTGCAGTTGATTACTATAATATCCCTTCCCTTCTGTAGACTTTCCTATTGCTGCCTGTTCAAGCCATAGTCATCGGCCTTATCCTGGCTTTGCTGTTTTGGTGCTTCGGCGCATTGTGGTAGTAAGGTACACGTTACTCCTATCAAGTCGGCCTGTCGTTTCCATCAGTGCTTTGCATGACCTAATCGGGTTTTCCTCATTTCCCAGAACGCCTTCCTCCGAGGAAACCATCGCCTGAGAAATCTAACCTATCTAATCATGCAGTTTCAACATCTGACATCTGTTGGTCCTGTCTGAATGGCTTAACGTCTTCTCTCATTTGGCTGTGTTAATTATGTTTTCTTTCTTTAAAGAGCTTCTATGTATTTTATCCACTCTGTGCTTCGTCGTGATCTCAGTTGCAAGCTCCCCCGTACCAAAACCTAGATGACCCTCGGATGTGAGGCTTTGCTTTGTGATGCTCGAGCTCTCCTCTCTCTGCTGCCTTTGTTTCAGAAACCGTGGATGATCTGGGGACCGGTGGCTGCTGTGGCTCTAACAGCTCTGACCGCTGCTGTACTCTTCAGGACCTGAAAGCAACTTTAAAATTGCACACACACACACACACACACAACTTTGTCATCAAAACTTGCCCTCCTATCATATCAGCACTATTAATTAGGTCGGCTCTTATTTACTTGTTTAATTCTTAAGAAGCTCTATTTTAGAAGGAAGAGATGTTGATAAAGGAAGGCCAGTATTGTGCGTACATCAGTAAGTTTGCCGGTTTTAACAGGAGCTTAGGTGGATGGTGTTTTAGGATTACATGAATGTTAAAAATCTCACCACTGAACTAATTTTATTTCAATACCTGTAAGTAAGAATATTTTAGATGGATCACTTCAACATATCTTTGTAATTGTCGTAATAATAAAAGTCATAATAGCGAGTGCATGGAGAATGTGGGATGAGGACAGCAGATTGTTGTGACGGAGTCCGCTAACGTTGTCCAGAGTGAATATTTGTGAGAATTAAACGAGTTTCAGAGTTTAGATCTGCATTATCTGATTTTAGTTTGCTTTTGAAAAAAGCGCCATTAAACAAACTGCATCAACTTTCCCTTTGTGGGTTATTTTTCTCCATCTGATTCAGGTTACAGAGATTTTTGTCTACCGCTGAGAAGTGACAGGTGGACATTAATGTTTTTGCCTTTGAGTCCATATCAAAATATTTCATGAACCACGTGATGTATTTTATTTAAACTTTAGGGAAATATTTCCTGGGTGCACATCCATCACCGTTTTGCTTGTATAGTCATCCCCGTTCATTAAGGGAACTCAGACTTTGCTATAACTCAGTATTCTGTTCAGTCTGTTTCAACTGCTGAAATGCAAATCCAAGTCTAAAAATAAAACGTAAAAGAAAATTGGAACTGGATTGAAGGCGGTGGTGTGAGGCGTAACTCAGTGGTAACTCCAGCTTGTGGAAAATCAAACCAGTGCTAAACCAGTCTCCTCCTTAGGACCCTTTCTAGAATCCTTTGAAATTCAAAGTTTCAACTCCTTAGTGCTATTAGGTGTTACCACCAGAAGATGTTTTTCTTTTCTTTTTTTTAATGTTTTTTCTCTTTTTAGGCTTAAAAAAACATTTAGAATATTTTTAATAACTTGTTTTTTTACACATTCTCCAAACTTACATATATGGATCTAATTTTTTGTGATTCTTCATTACACACCGAGCTAAAAGAGCTTGTTTTTACCTTTGCAACATGTTTTGGTACGCCCCGCCTATGTCATCCTCTGATGCCTGCAGATAAACGGAAACATCAGCATCTGCTCTGACGAAAGTGGCAGTGGACGCCGAAACGTGTCGGCAAGTAAAAACAAGCTCTTTTTGCTCTGTGTATAATGAAGAATCACAGAACGAACGTAACAAAGATGGTCACTATGGGTCACTGTGGGTTAAAGAACTAGCTCAGGCCCAAACATTCTGCCATAACAAAGGGATCTCACAATCTTTTGGTTCTCCAAATTCTGCTGAATGAGGAAACGCTGATGAAATCCTTTAGGAAGGATAAAGCATTCACACACACTTAGGTGATCTGCTCTTTCTGTGTGTTCTGCTGGCTTTGCTGCCAGGAATCTCCCAGGACACAGAAACAAGCAGCATTGTAGCTCAGACTGTGTTGGGAAACATGAACAGATTTAGGGCTTCTCTATGTAAACCCAAACATGAGAGCCACTCTGCGCTGTTACATTCATTTGTTCTGCTCTAGTTTCCATGTAGGTCATCTGTAGTGGATCAGAGTTGCAGCAGGATGTTAGTAGATAGTCGTTTTACTGTATAATCATGTTATTTACATACAAGATTTGTGAGCAGGCTTGGTAATTAAATCAGATCACAGAATAACTAGAATTGTGTTACCAAACCTCATACACCAAGTGTTAATGCAGTTATATAGGGGTTTGTTGCAGGCAGTAGTAAAAACACATGTAGCTACTTTACTCTATTAGATGTATAATATTCAGAAGTATTGGAAAAATGCATCATTACACCTGAAAGCATGTTCAAAACCCTTCTGATGGAGTTTGTTTCACATACAGACCATCATCTGGATATTCTGAGTCAGAAATGGGGCAAGGAGGCAACATTTGGGAGGTTCTAAGCTTTAATAAGCTTAGTTCCTTTTTTGGTTTCTAAATTAGGAAAAGCACTGTCGCGTTTGGTGTGAAAGTCAGAAATCGAGACCAGCAGCTGCATCAGAGGTCTGTACACTATTTCCCCTCAGAGGCTTCGTGAACTGAAGCACATCTGGGAGGATGCCGTGTGGACTGCAGTAAGCAGCAGATGCATCATACCTCTTTTGTGACACCCAGTGGTTGCATGTTGGTTCACAGTCTAAACCGGTGAACCCGTGTATAAAATTTTAAGGGATACTATGCAACTTTTTCATATTTTAAAATCATTTCTTTGAGCCAGTATGAGCTAAAATGACCCTTACAGGCTTAATGAAAAGTCAGACCTCTACCGCTCCCAGTGGCCAGAATAACGCACTTGCAACTTCAGGCTGGCGGGCCGCCACCTGTTGGACTTGCAAAAATGTATCTGACATGCCTGGCACTGCAGTCTGCTTCCAGCATGTTTCTTGGATGTGTTTGACCGTGAACACAGCTGACTTGTTGAATTTGGTGATTAACGGCTCTTGTGGACACTAATGGTGGGCTGGTGAGATGTTTCAGCAGCTAGTTTAGGCATTTAACTCATTCACTGCCACTGATGACTAAATGACTAAAGATGTCGTTTTAGATCCAACTGTTCACTGTTTGGGCATCGGAACGAGCCCCCGCGCCGAGAGCACAAACATCTCAGCTCTGAAGCCCATCTTTATCTGCATACGTCACATGTCACATGACCAGGAAGCAGAAATTCCAAGTATTAGGTGATCGTTTTGGGCCATTCCTGTAAAAAAAATGAGGTGCGAACTGGAAAAGTGTGTGCCAATCACAATTTCACAACGGATTATGAAAAAACGGATAACACTCGAAACACGCGGATTCTTCCTGATGTAAGAGGTGAGTCTACTCTTTGTTTTGGTTGTTTTGGCGTCGACATCACCCAACATTTTGTCACTCTTAAAAAAACAGTAAAAACGGTGAGAAACGCTGGCAGCGAAGGCCTTTAGCGATCAAGAAATGGCTGGCAGTGAATGAGTTAAATGACTAATGCATTGCAACACAAGTTTCACTCTCAGTTCTACTAAACGGACCGCAGGGGGTGCTAAAAGCAAGCCAAAACTGCCATGTGTGCCTTTAAAAACTACAGTGGGAAAATTGTTTGAGCTTTACCAGACTTGTCTACTCACCGAAAGTAAAAGGCAGCCAGTAAATGCTTTCTCAAAGTGACGATGTGTAGTTTTTACCAGTATTCTCTGGAGGTATCCATTGAAATGTTGTAAATTAATTAAAAAATATCGGGTCTAAAATACACGGGAACGGTTCTACGTTTCTGGGCGACGCCTTATTGCATGCCCTGTTTCCTTCTACGGAAGCCCATGAGGATAATAATAATCATCATCATCATCAAACTTATATAGCGCTTTATTAGGACACTCAAAGACGCTTGCATGAACTATTACATTCACACAATGCCAGTCAGGGGCATAGCACCAAGTTCTGGGCCCTAGGTACAAGTCTTCTAGGTGGGCCCCCATGCTCAATTATTTAATATCTCTCTTACACATTTTTTGTCATGCTATAAGACAAGATAATAGATATGATCTTAGTTTAACCTCTATATTGAGCAAATACAAATGCCAGCATAATAAAAGTGAAATGCCCAGGCTTCACATACAATTATTTTTATTTGCCAACAATGTGTTCAAACTAAACTCCTGGAATTTATTTTCCAGTAAATGCCCACTGACGGGTCTTCATGTTAGCAAAATCACTTATGAGATCTTTAAAGTCCAATCCTTTGGCTAATTGGCTTCCAATAGAAAGAAGAGCTAGGCTGTTCAGTCTATCCTGGGACATTGTTGATCTCAAATAATTTTTCACCAGTTTCAGTTTGCTAAAAGCCCGTTCACCCCCAGCAACAGTCACAGGTAGTGTGCAAAATATCCTCAGTCCAATACAAACTTCTCCAAAAATGCTCTGTAATTGCATCCTGTAGATGGCATTAAGCAGCTCAAGAGGAGACCGGACGTGTGGAAATGTGGCACCATATATTTATTTATTTATTTAGGAAGTGGGTCAATACATATTAATGAACATTTCAATAAATGTAAATATGCCAGTTTATAGCCTTGGGCTAATTTCCATCTGCAGACCCTCCGGCAGGTTGATGTTAGACACAAAGTAGTGTAAACATACAGAGATAGTATTTACAAGTCATGTGACAGAGACAAAAACTGTCATCCCATTATACTAACACAAACAAATGTCAAGGAAATTGGACACAGAGAACAACATAGACAGCAATAACGGAAACACATCAATTGTATTGCACAAACCCCGATACTGCATATGCCCTGACTGTCGTGAGATTACATTCACCCATTACACTAGCAGTTGTTTCCCTTTTAATACTGTACCAACTCTTTTCCCGGACAAATAAAAAATATAAGTATTAGACATGATCAGATTTGTTCTCAGGTGTAGCATCTCATTCTCAAATTCAGCTGTGAGATCCTGGTAATATTTTCTTATCAGTGCCTGGCATGATATCTTCATCTGCTCTTCAATCATGTCTGTCATAGTTCATGATGTTAAGCTTTGCTGATATGTATTGATATATTAAATACATATGACATGAAATAAACCAGGTTCTCTCTGTGAATGTAATGGACTCTAAATATTATAATCCCTGCATTATCAGCCAAATTATAAGATTGTCCGTTTTCAAGATCAAATATAAAGAAATTTAAAATAGGCTTAAAATATCTAACCAAGTCAATAACAATCCTCTAACACCAGTGTCATCATGCTATACGAAAAACAGTGGCAGCTTCACATTCCTGAGATTACCACGAATCCATCGATACCAAGTTTGTCCTGGTCCATGACTGGGAAGGCGCTGAAATATCCACAAAGAGTGAACCTGTTTTTACTGCGAGGTCCGCAAATTAATTGGCGGCGGCCGCCCGCGATAATAATTCTGATTAATATATATATCCTTGAACCGTCACCTTATCGTGGTGGAGGAGTTTGAGTGCCCTAATGATCCTAGGAGCTATGTTGTCTGGGGCACTTAGTGCCCCTGGTAGGGTCTCCCATGACAAATTGGTCTTAGGTGAAGGGTGAGACAAAGAACGGTTCGAAGGATCTTTCATGGCGGTTAGAACGAAGAGTCGGAGTACCCAGCCCGGAGGGTTACCGGGGTCCCACCCTGGAGCCAGGCCTGGGGTTGGGGCCCGTGAGCGAGCGCCTGGTGGCCGGGCTTTCGCCCATGGGGCCCGGCCGGGCCCAGCCCGAACCGGATACATGGGCTCGTCCAACTGTGGACCCACCACCCGCAGGAGGAACATGAAGGGTCCGGTGCAATGCGAATCGGGTGGCAGACCAAGGCGGGAGCCTTGGCGGTCCAATCCCCGGACAAGAAAACTAGTTTTTGGGACAT